CACCCACACACTTGTGCGAACTTTTGAGTCAGCGCAAAAATTTTATGCACATGGCATAAAATCGAAATCAAAGTTGTTGCTGATTTGGCGCAAAATTAACAGGCAAAGCAGGCGCACTCTTAGCTGTCAGCCTTCGCTCTATGTCTCCGCCCCCTCGATTCACTTGGCAAAGGACCTTCGTCCTTCGTCCTTTTCCTTCCCACTTTTGAGGGCAATTAAAGCGAGGAACCACTGGTCTCTCTCGAGGAGAACTCGCCGCGTCGCGCGTCTTGTCTCAAATTAAATTTGCATTTCAAATTCCGTTTTTGTTGACATCCGGCAGTTCCTTTGCGTGGATTTCGACAACGTAGCTTTGCAAATCAAAGCATTTAGTTTATACAAATCCAAAGGTCCAACAACAACCAACACATACCCAACAAAGCTGGTGGGAAAAATATCTTGGGTGGGAAAAAGAAAAAGCCTGGAACTCGAATGAGCAGGTGCCTGCCTGCATATAAATCAAAATAATTTCGTTTTGGGGTGATGTAATTTCACAAGGGGAGGACTAAGGGCAACACTGCGATGTAAACAAGTATGTTTTGCAAAAGATTATTTATATAAAAATATTTTCTGTTAAATAATCCTAAAGGTATAAAACATATATACCATGAACTTGGTTTTTAAACAAGTTCTTTATATTTAAAATATCGATAAATTCCGATTCATTCCTATAATTCGATAAACAACTTTAAGAGAATATTCTTCGACTTCCCGGAGAATGATTTAATTTTTAAGTTTACATTATAATTTCTATATTCAAAATTACTATACATTAAATACAATATTTCCGTTATGTATATAACTTCGTTATTTTCCTTTCGATATACATCTGATAGATTACAAGCTCACAATTACATTAGTATTTTCTACTATTTCACTTTTCTTAATATTTTTCAATTTTCCTTAAAGTGTATGAAAATGGTTTGGGAAAAATCCTGGAAAACAGTGGCTTGAGAGGGGCGAAATCATGAAAAGGACAAATGAAGTGAAATTTAAATGATTGCATACTCGGAGGCGTTTGTTGAACCACTTATTTTCACCTAATTGCACACTCGAGTGGACAGACGATGCTTTTTCCACTTCAGTAAACTGCCAGGGAGTTGGTCACTCCACTCCCTGCCACTCCTAATCCCAATCTCAATCCCAATCCCAATTTCAGTCCTCAAGTCCATGTTACGCAACAAAGTCAGAAAATATTTGGCAAACATTTCGTGTCCAACATTTTATCCTTCCTTCCTTCCTTGAACCAATATTGGGGTGCGTGTGCCGACAGCATTTGTGTAATTTGTGAGCATTTGTTGTGTGTTTGTGACAATAAGCGAAAAGCAATTATAAAGCGGCACAAGAAAGTGAAAGCCGGAAATTGCCCAGAGAAAGAGAGAGGATAAGAGTGTCAAAGGACCAAAGAAAAGGAACGTGTGTGTGTCTTGGGGGACACACTCTCATGTAGGGACACTTTTCCAAAAGGAGAAGGAGTAAGGACTACGAACCGCAGGCTGGCAGCTCATTAAAGGCACAAGTTTTTACTCCCTTCATCGTCTTTCGTCTTTTACTTTTGTTTCTCTTGGTTAATTTTTCCTGCGACAAACGAACAGAAACAAATTTCATGCAAAGGGAAATGGAAAATGCAAATTAACAAGTTCCCTTAATGGGACTTGTGGGCGCTGCAGCACTCCTTTCAGTGACTGTAAAACTGCGAAAAACAGTCCTGAAAATTCAACCAGCTTTCAATTAAAAGTTAGCAACGGATCTATGAAATCAGAGTGGTTTCTTAAGTGCGGGGATTTTAAATATTTTACTTGAAAAAATGTTTAAGCTTATATTAAAGAAAGGCATGTACAAGTTCCAAAAATGGATACACATATTTCTTAGATTTTGATTATTTTACTTTTACAACTCTATCACTCAAAACCACTCACAACCGATCCTTTGGAAAAATGTTCTAGGAAAATGTTCATGGCGCCGCCAAAAACACTTGCCAAATATGGTTACTTCCAGGACATGTTTGGTGCAAAAAGCTATGATTTCTTTTACGGGTAAACCATTTCTGCATCAACCAATTTCCTCACTCCACTCGATTTTCCACTTGCGAATTTTCCAACCCCCCACCCCCACCCACCAACTCTTGTTACGCGTTCTCAGCCGCGCTCCATGTCATGACATGAGCAGGAAATGCGTTTTCTGACGCCCCTCTAAAGATGGCTGAAAGAGAGGAACCGGAAATGGGGGGTAGGCCAGGGTTACACTAAGAAAAATATTGAATACCCTGAAAAATAACTATGCTTGTTATACCCTTGCAGGGAATTATAATATTAGTCGGCAGAGAATAGATTTCTCCCTCTCCCTTTTGCTCTGCCTCTAACTATGTGCCCCTCCCTCTCTCGCTTTCTCTTACTCTCTATGTTTCTCGATATGTCCATCCCTCTCTGTGCATCTCTGGCGCTAGTTCTCTAGCTCACTCTGTTTGTCCATAGCGATCGCTCGCTCTTTCACTCTCGCTCTCACTTTCTCTGTTCTCTCACCTCGGGACTATAAATAGAGGCACAGCTGCCGCTCTGGCTTCAGTAAGTGCGCGGCCTCCCACCTGTTAGGATCGATGGTGATAGTGGTGATAGTGATTATGATAGTGATTATGATAGTGATTATGATACTGATTATGAAAATGATTATGATAGTGATTATCACCTGATCAAATCACTTTGATGATGCATTTATTTACTTATTTAACTATGCATTTATAATTAAATTTATTCTCTTATATTCATAAACCACTAACTTAATTTTATTTGAAAGTGATACAGCAATTTGTATTATGAATATCTACAAACCTCTAATTAAAGTTAATATCCTAACTTAATAAAAAATTTTCACTAATATTGATTTCTGACATTACTACTCACATATATTACCCATTGCAGGGCATTATAATTTCATTCAGAAGCTTGAAACGCAGTGAAGGAATCGTTTCCGACCCTATAAATCATATATATTCTTGATCAGCATCAAAAACTGAATGCAGATTTGTTTTCCCTATAAAAAGTAGCACAGAAAAATAAACCGAATAGAAATTAATGCATTTTTGGGTTAGTTATGATATTTGAAAAATATTGTTTTATCCAAAAAATAGCATTATAAAAATATCGATTTAATATAGCTAGTCTTTACATATCACATATATATACATATATGTACATATTTTTTTAGCTCCAAAGTAATAAAAGATTCATTATATCGTTCTTTTTAAATGGAAAGTCTAAATCCTTTCTTACGTTACATGTTCTATATATAACATTGATCTTAATTCAATACAAAACCTTTCAATTGGATTGAATATCTTAAATATATATATATAATTATTAAAATTTCTTTAAATTTTCTTCAAGTGTCTTTGCTGAGGGTGCTAGAATTTTCGAATAGCTGCTGTTCTTGGTTTCTCGACTAGGTTTACGGTTACGGTTTTTTGGCTATGCCGTGTGCCCGGTTCCGTTTCTTGTGCACCAAGCGAAGCGCCATAAATATTTAAATTGTGGAACCACAGGCCGCCCCCTTTTCAAGTTGCTTTTTTAGACCCCTTTCCCTGTACAACCATGTCTGGCTTGTCGCTTGCCAGCTTATTTTTTGACAGTTATCGATTCACCGATGACTGCTTCAGTTGCATATCCTGATTCTGTTTCTGATTTCGATGTCGTTTTTGACTTGAGCCAGAAAGACGGTTTTATCTTGCCGAGACTCGCGTTCATTTCATGGCCTAAAATATGCATTAAAGGAAGTCGGGTTGAAGGGGAAAAATACTTGGTGAAAAGAGATTATAAATCTTCATTTAGCTGTGTGTATTTGTGCAGGTAAAAGTGACATAAAACATACAATGAAATCCGAAAGTGCAATGACCTTACTATTAATTCCTTAAACTGCCCAAAATTCGATCTCAAATTTGTGAATATTTAAATTTCCAACACCTTTTATCCTTCTTGTTTTGAAGTGCAAGTCAAAGGGTAAAAATGCTTCTCAAGTCAATTAACCAGGACTAAAAAAGCCTGCAGTCCTGTTAAGACACTGTCTACATTGATGGCTGAAATCAAAAATGTTGCATTTGTTTGCTCAGGTGATTGAGATTGAGATGGACTAAAGATTCCCATCGGAAATATAATGTTTTTTCTGGCCAATATTAAATATATTTGCCAACGTCACTTCTCCTTGGGGCAAATCGTGTCTGCTGAACTTTGCTTAATACAGGTGCAAATGTTTGCAAAATATTTACAAAATCATTGAAAATATGTGAACAATTATTCAGGAATTTTTCAGGGCGATATTTGAGAAAATTAACTCCTAAGACAAAGTCTGCAACGAATTGTTTATGTTGATTAAAGCTTGAGAGTTTTAAGGAATTTAAAGCAGACGAAAATATTTACATTTCGGTTTATTCGATGTTTTTGTTGAAAAAATCAAAACAAAAAGGGAATAAAGGATTTTAAATTGAATATATTTCGGAGGAATTGGGAAAAGATTATGCAGAGTAAACTAAATTTAAGTAAGTTATTAAAAAGAAGAAACACTGTTCAGTATTTTCTCGTAACTGATAAATTTGTTATTGGTATATTTTAAAGATTAAATTACTTTCAAAGTTTATAATTATTATTGCCAAATACAAAGTTTCACAATTTTACTCAAGCAAATGAAAACTTCCCCTAAAAATTATGAATCATTCTTAAAATGCCTTGGCTTAAAAATCATTCAGAAGCTTTTCTACAGAAAAAAGCTTTTTCCAACAAAAAACCAATACTAAATTTACGTTTCGGCTATCGATATCACTTATCGATATTTCCTCGCGTTTAATCCCCCCAAAAACACACACTGCGTATGAGTAATTTAACAGAGCTTTTAGATTTTTATGACTGCCGATATTAGGTTGTTTTATTACTTAGTCAGTCCCATGAGCAATAAGTTCAGTTACCAGCAATAAGTCGAACCATTTGGACGTCTATAGATTTCTTAGCTACTCTTTTAAATTAAATAAAAAGTTAAGCAACAATGCCTCCGCCGCATGATCATTGTGGTGGCCCGCCGCATCGCCGTGGACCAGTGATCAAGGTCCAAATTGCACCACCATGGCCCCGACGCCATCATCGTCCGCCACCTCAGGTTGTGGTGGTTCAACAGCCACCGCCACCACCACCACCAGTTATGGTGGTGCAACAGGCGCCGCCACCGCCATACTATCAGCAACCACCTCCCCCACCACCCGGTGGCAGTCACTACCACAATCCACAATATTGAGGAGGAACTACCTAAAACTATTCCCGATTTAGAGGAGGAATTAGTTCTGAAAGCTGCCATATTGAAGTGGAACTACAATAAAATTGAATTTATTATAAAAATAGAATAAGAAAAAAGTTCATTTCAAATATTAAATGAAAATTTAACAATAAATACAGTCAAAAAGCATTTCAAAACGGTATAAATAATTGCTATCTTTCGTAAACCAAAAATTAAATGTGCTTTCTTTTTATTTAGAAACCAAAGATAGCTTATAAATATTATAATTTATTTATGTTATACTTATTATTCAAAATGATTATTTTTACTTTAACCGCTAAGATTCTATTATGTTTTATAAATATTTAATGTTTATATGGACTAAATGGAACCTTATTTCATATCTATCAGTTATAAATAAATCCCTTGAAAGCAATTTAATCTTCAAAATATAAGTCATACATAAATAGCAAATTGAAATTTTCAACTAAACAGAAAAAATGAAATACTGAACAGTGTTCGTCAAAAATTTGCAAACTGTATTCAAAGAAGCTGCCTTTGTTTTCTATATTAACTATTTTATCTCCATCGTTTATTATCGCAACACCTGTTGTATTTATTTTCCTTGTTGTCTAGATGAAATTCTCTCATTTCTCTGCCAAAAACCTATTTCTATTTCTATTTCGTGCCTATCTGACCTGATAAGAGCCACTCAAGCTCCCCGATAAGCTCGGGATCAGATAGTTTGGGGGTAAACAATGGAGGTAGGAAATATAGCGAAACCCGATCAATACAATTCACTTGTGAATGCACAACTGTCCCTCGGAAAGTGTTATCAGATGATGACTAAGAGCCTTCGTTATCGCTGGAATAATTCCCATAAACCCTGATTGATGGAGCCCCGTGTACTTCCAGTGCGGTTAGAGTGAAGCGTGTTGAGTTTTCGGGGTTCCAGTGTTCAACGCGTTGCTGGCTACCGAGGTTGGTTGGGTTCTTTTTGGACTGTCAGTCTGTGAATCCACTATGCGGTACTATGAAGATCCATGTGGCTATCCTGCTCGCCATCACCATGGTCGTCCAAATATCGAGATTGATGTGGTTCCCGCTTGGGGTGGCGCATACTATCCGCCGCCGCCTCCGCCTCGGCCCACCGAGATTGTCTACGTAACGCCAGCGGCCACATATGTTCCGGGTGGTGCTCAGGTCCAGGTTATGCCTCAGCCCTATGGCGGTGTTCAGGTGGCCACCACCAATGGATACTATCCACAGCAGCAGCAGCAGGTCTATCAGGACTATCAGTATCAGTATCAGCAAGCTTACACTAACCCACCGTATCCCCAATGGTGATTGGAAGGATGATCGAACTATGAAGATATCAACAGACTAACTTAAGAACTCAACTATAATCGCAACTATAATGTTTCAAGTTCAATGAGATATATATTATAACAACAATAAAGTGTAGAGTATTCCAATAAAAGTGGTGTATTCCAATAAATCTGTGTATAATTCTATATAAAATGGTGACTAGCAATAGCGAGGAACATAAATATCAAAAGATGTTTAAATATAATTAAAAAACAAAACTGTACTGGTGTTTGAAAAAATGTCAATAAATGTATGCTTCAATAATTCAACAAAGAATTATTACAATTATATTATTGATCAAAAGTATTCTGATAATTGTATATTTCTCCTTTCAATTCATGAACTCAATTAAAAATACAAGAGTATTCCAAGTTCAACAACAAATAAATTGTCTATCGGTTATACTCTATCGATAAACAATGTCAAAACAATAACAAAATAATTCTGCTTTAATCTTAAGTTCATGGAATGACAAAAAAATGGTGCAATAGATAGTAAGTTGCCATGATAACAAAGACAACGTATTGTTTATATACAGACATACCGTAAGGAGTTATAAATAACAGCCAAGAAAGATAGAGAAATAGAATTATTATCTCAGAATTATAGCATTGTAGAATTATTATCTCAGAAGCTGGGAAATCTTGATCATTATTAAAATTAAATCCATAAAAGGGACATTTTTGTAGAATTTTGAGAAAACTGGAATAGTAATAGTATCATTATTTTTGAAATGCATGCGAGACAAGATTAAATTAAAAAGGGGATTGAATCTGCTTTTTTTGGGAAAGACATTGAAAAGATTGTTTCCCAAATTCTTAAAAATTATTCCAATTCTAAAGGAAAAGCTATAAAGTTTCGCAACTTCGTTTCTATTCCTTGCATAAAGATACAAAATGAAAATATCTCTACATACCCTGAATATAATATATATATTTTTGTATATACATATTTTAATATTAGTCACTATTTTTTTATGAATCATGAATTCCCATTTATATAAATATTCTGTTAACATCAAGTTTTGTCCTTCCCCTTAAACAAAATAAAAATTGTATGATTCACATAAACCTTGAACTAACGAAATTCAGCCAAAAAGAACGCAAAAGCTCATTTGCCTTTGTTTACACCTCACTCCCCGCTGCCTGGAAAGGGGTTTTATCAATATTTTTTTATCGAAGAAGACATTAAGGGGTAGACCACCCTGAACGCATGAAAATTGGAGGGTTTTTCAAAAATTCATTTTGACTAAGGTATTGGGAATACAACTTTTTATTTATTAGTACATCATAGTACATATGTTAAACTAAAAAATACTTATTGAAAGAAAAAAAATATTTACGAACCTCGGAGATATAGCCAGTCAAAAAACGAATTTTTTTTAGGGAATGGTCGGATGGTGTACATGCTGCACACCACATTTGTTATCCGAAATTCAAAAACAAAAATTTTTTATAAGCTATATAAGTATGGCTATAGCATGACGTAGCCGTTTTTGGAAATAATTTTTTTGAGCAAATGGGAGCACTTTGAAAAAAAAAATTTTTTTTTTAACAAAATTTTTGATTTAAAAATTTATAACTTTAAAACAAAAAACATATCGAAAAAATCCTACGTCATGCCATAGAGGGCATTATAGAGAAGCTGTGTAAAAAATTTGAAGAGAATCGGTCCGGCGGTTTTTGAGAAATCATGTACACCGTTTTAAAAAACGTTGTTTTGAGAAAAACGCAAAAGAAGATAAAGAAAGTACTCTACGGTATACCGGCAGCGCTCACTTCTAATGGCTGTAGAATCCACAAGTAACGAGATATTTTTAAGCCCGATGTCTTAAAATGACCGTAAGAATATCAGCATCAAGATTGATTAAAAAAAAAAATTAGATTTTAAAAAATGTCAGGGTGGTCTACCCCCTTAAGTCCACCTGACAAGATAAGAAAGTAAGCTTCTGTGCAAAAATATACATAACAAAAGTTAGAAAATTCCCCTAATTAGCGATAAAGTTAGCCTTAAATAGTTTGCCAGGTGGAACAGTGATTTCAGTTCGACTCAAGAGTCAAAGGCAGCAGCTACACCACCAAGGATACCACTTATTTTTTTGGATAACCTAAACAACGAGAGAAAGATGCCCTACTACGAGGACGAAAGGCGCCATCATCATCACCACCATCATCATGGTGGCAGGCCCATTGTTGAGGTGGACATTGTACCACCAAGGATCCCAAGGCCAGTGATCGAAATCGGAGTGGGTGGTGGCTACCGCCCACCGCCACCAAGGGTGGAGGTTATCACTCCAGCCGCTGTGTACCAGCCACCGCCACAGCCCATTGTCGAGGTCGATGTGGTCCGTCCCGGAAGGCCGTTCATCGAGTTCAATATCGGTGGTCGTCGTCCGCCACGTGAGGAGGTCATCATCGTCCAGCAGCCCCACCGCCCAGGTGGTAACTTAATTCCGACTCTGACTACCGAATTGGAAGAGTGAACTAATTACAAAAAAAAAACATATATATAAAATACAAAAGGAAGAACATTTTCCAACAGTGTTCACTGCATTGGAAAGGAATAGCACTAGAATTTAATATTTAAAATATTGTAAAGAAATATATACATAACCTCAAACTTTAAATCAACATTTTTTTTTAATTGGAAAATTAAGCTTTTGTCCAACTTATTAAAATAAAAGGATTTTATTTACAAAAACTGTATTAAATATCAGCCTAAGCCCTTCGGGTTGCTTACTAAAACTTTGTATTAAAGAAAAAATAAAATAAAAAAGCAGTGTTCACTTCTTCTAAGTTTTTATGTTCTATACTACTTAAGTAATTAAAAAACTTAATTACCTAAATAATGTTAAGATGTTGTGTGAAAGAATTTTTAAAATTTCTTTATAGTACAAATTTCGTACTACGAAAATCAAAAGAAATATGCAAAGGCTACTTTGCTTTTTAAAATTTCGTAAATAATACAGCCCCATATTTAATAGAAAGTATAATATTTAGTTAACGTTTAATATAATAATGTATTTTTAAATCAATAATTAATTGTTATTATTGTATTTTTAAACAGTTTGTCCCTTTATATAATATTGACTACAAATATTACTCATACGCCTCGTTGTTACCTGCTCCTCCTGGCCATTCTTAAGCTACATTGCTTTGTAAATATGAAAAACCTTCTCTTATAACAATTAAAATCCACTCTTTTAACAAATGTAATTTTTTCGTAGAAATATATCTCATTACAAATAATTTCTAAAAATATTACGCATACGCCACGTGGTTTTACGGCCGTGGCTGATTTTTCGAATACTTTTGCTACATTCGTAAATAATTAAAAACCTTTACGTACAACAATTAAAAACTACTCTTCTATTCTAGGTATGTTTTCAGACATATTTTTACATTTAAAAATAATTATACAAATATTACGCATACGCCACGTTATTACACGAAGGTACTTTCATTTCCGAATTCTTTAACTACATTCGTAAATGTTTAAAACCATCCTTAACAACAATTAAAAATTACTTGTTTGACCTTAGTATTCACTTTAAGCATATTTTTCTCAAATATCATCATATTCCACAAAAATTACGTATACGCCACGTGGTTCTAGTGGTACTCTACATTCTTGAACAAATATTTAAAAGTTTTTCTCCTGAATTACCACTGTAACTGGCAATCCATTCTGTTGTTTGCCTGAATAAGTTAAGTGCATTTGGTTTTAATTGAAATTCACATGATTGGTTTTCAATGTCGGCTCTTGCACTTGTACGCTGAATAAATTCACATATATGCCATTAATTTGGAATGTTAATGGCGCAAATATAAAAAATTAACTACTGGTGAATGTCATAAACAATCGTTAAGGTTTTTCCTTGCCATTTCTCTACCTCTCTATCTCTCTCTCTCTCTCTCTCTTTATATTTTATCTTTTTTTCCAATTTTGGTTCGATTTTGGTGGCTATCTGACATGTCCAAAATGATTGATGTCCTTTGGCAGAGGCAGAGCCTTATCAATTAGTTAAAAATATAAAAAAAATATTATTTAAAATTACTAGAGAATGTTTTTAAATTCTCTTTAATTAGTGCGAAAGAAGATATATATTTTTAAGAAATTACAGAGTTAAGTAAGATGATATTAATTAAAATCTTAGATCTTTATAAGTACAATGTATATTTTATTTTATACGAATTCCCTTTGAAATAATAGCAGAAAGTTTTACTATATAATTTTATCCTATTTAAATACTTGTAGAAATTAAAATTAAAGTCCCCGCAATGACTCACTTTTGGGGCAACCCCAACCAAAGTCCTCAAGTTAAATAATTAACCATAAAAAATAAATATGTATTTAACCAACCCTGACAAAAATGAATCACAGTCAAACAGCAGAGGCAACTGCACTTGATCGATAAATAGACCGATAAGACTATCAAGGGATTTCCTTATCACTTTCAATCTAACAGTATATAAAACGAATAAATAAATGGTGGAAAACCATTCAAACAAGGAAAGCTAAGGAAAGCAGTTTCAGCTCCAAAAATCAAGGAAATATGGCCGATGTAAACATCAATGTCCAGTGCGAGTGCTATCATCGTCGTGGATTGCTCTACGCAGCTCGTCCTTGGGCCTGGGGACGTCCTTGTCGCCGCTGCCGAAGGATGATGTCCAGGACCATGATGGTGGTGCCAGCCCAGGTGGCACAGCCAGCCTTAAGAGCCACCACCACAACCACAATGGTGCCCATTGCTGTTACCACTTACTAAGAATAAGGAGATCGAAGGAGAATTTCCAGTACTTAAACTTGAGAGGGGAGAATATTCTCAACCAGACTGATTTATATATATTTCTTATAAAATACAAATTGTTATATAAGTAAAAAATAGATGTGCCTTTGAGTTTTTCGAACGAAATAAGAGGTTTTAGACAAATAAGAAAATAAGTTATTTGTTTAACAAACCTGAACCACACATAGTGATGTATCTTCAAAAATACAACACTTGTATTAATAGATACTGGAATAACTTTCCACTTTCATGCTCTAAACCACTTCCTTAAGCTCTAGATTTTCCCTAATGACATCTAGAGTATTCTTGATATCTGCCAGATGATTTTGTATATTAATCTGCTGTAGCTCCATCCTGTCCAATCTCTCTTGGGTTGCATTCAAGGTGTAATGATGTTCTTCAATATGAGCGATCAGTAGCTTTAGTCTCGTGAAGCAAAAGGCATTGGTTCCCCGGATCTCTTAAAACACACCTAACTATCGGTGGTTCCTAAGACTCTGCCTCAGATTCTTCATACAGATTCCAAGAAAGAAGTGCAAGAAGTAAATAAATTCCGAATTTGAACATATTTACTGAAGGCCAACCGCAGAAGTTGAGAGATTTCAATAAACTGATGCTAAATTAATGAGCAGACTGACAAAGATAATTTAATTTGTGGTGATAAAAAAACATGTGTGCTAAATTTATTTGCCAAATCCAACGAGATATAAGAGAATTATAGAATAATATTTCAAATCTAGGGATCGGAGTGGGTTTTTGGTTTAATAAAATGTGTAGAACATTAACTACTACTTCTATAGGATTATAATTGTACTGAATAAATCGAGCTGAAACAAAAGTGATTAGTTCTCGGTTATTACAATGTATGTAAAATCCTTATGAAAGATTTTAATACCAAATAATATAAGCGTCTACAAAAAGTACATTATTAGAAGCCCTTTAAATATTATATTCAACAAAAAAATAGAGTATTATTTATTACATTTCATTTGTAATATAAGAATACATTTTTTCTTTGATAATTTAAGCAATTTTTTTATATTTTAATATGACTCATACTAAATTAACTGATCTTTGGGGCAACCCCCAAACCCAGATAAATTTAATGAGTCAACCTTAAAATCAGCATATAACCACCCCTGGTAAAAGTGAATCATGATAACAGTCGATACCCCAAAACTTGATCAATCAATGCACACCGATAAGTGAATCCATAAGATTTCCTTATCGAACTTGCGATACACCTAAACGAAATAAATAAGTGGCAAACAGCCATCGGAAAAGTCAGTAAAGCGAGAAAACTTCAAGAAGGAAGAACACCAGAAAAAATTCGAGGAGGAAAATGACCGATGTAAACATTAGCCTGGAGTGTGCCGAGTGCCACCATAGCCGTGGAGTCCTGTACTACGCCAATCCCTTGGCCTGGGGACGTCCCTGCCGTCGATGCCGCAAGATGATGTCCAGGAGTGTGGTGGTGGTGCCCACCCAAGTCCAGGCTACACCTGCCCAGGTGGTTATGCCTGTTCAAGCCACCACCACAACCACCACGACCTCGGTGCCCATCAGGGTCACCACCTACTAGATATGATTTAGTTCCCTGAAATGTGTGCCTTTTGATGTAGAAAAATTCAATTTAAACTCATTAAAGAAATTGCTTAATAATAAATGCAAAAATTATTATAAAAGTTATATGATTTCTTTAATTATGGAAATATTTTGGGGAATTTTCTTTTATAAATAAATATATATAGAGAAATTATCATTAAACATGATTTTAAGCCATATAAAAATGTAGATTATCAATTAAATTACGAAACTTTTATTTAGAGTAAAATATTTTGTAATTAATATTGAATCTTATTTATGTATATATTTATATTTATTCTACAATTATATTCATTTTATTACATTTATTTATATCCAGCTCAAGGAACTCCCCTTTTTATAATAAATAAAAATATAAAGTTTTTACAAGAATACTTTTTAATTTATAATTTGGATAAGTAATTAAATGTTAGGAACACTTTAGGGTACCAAATAAATGCATAAACTAATATATATTTCATATGTATAACGTAACAATTGTATTAATATAAAATAATTCAATGCTGAAATGAAATTTATATATATTATGTATTTGTTTTCTATATACATAACTACTTATATGAGAACAAATAACGTTTTCCCACCAACTTCTTTTATATTTTCATATTTTTTATCTACATATCTTCTTATATAATATCATATAACGTTCTTCCATTAGCTTCTTTTTATAAAACAAGTGTTTGAATACAATTTCCGATAATCTTATCAGTGCAAGTGTACTGACTTTTAAGCAAGTGATCCATAGACAAAGCACAATATCAATCTCAATAGCCAGGAGCTATAGATTATGACTCCTGATCTACCCTAACACATATATCTCTGAATCGATCAAGTGTCCCGAAATGAGTCACAAAGTGAACCTTATCCCTAGGCAACCCCCAGTAATGTGAAGATCCATGAATCAGCGACCTGAGCCAACCAACTCAACCAGAATTATAGATTAGAGAGTATTGTCAACCAGCCCTGGCAAAATTGAATCACCAAGCGTGCCAACACACCAGATACTACCATCAACGTTGATCGATCAATGTACCGATAAAAAGTACAAAGGATTACCTTATCACACTCACAGTCCCCACAAAAATAAATATATAAATAAAACCCAACTGAAATTGGACAGTTAACAAAGCAAACTCGTAGAGTAAACACCTCTAAAAAAAAACACAAAACCTTAACAATGAATAACGTTAATATAAATGTTCAGTGCGAGTGCTACCATCGCCGAGGACTCTTCTACTACGCCAATCCTTTGGCCTGGGACGTCCTTGCCGTCGCTGCCGCAGGATGATGTCCAGGGGCATTGTGGTAATGCCACAGGTGGCCATGCCTGTACAGACCACGACTACTACAGTGACACCTGCCCAGTGTGCAACCAACTGGCAGATGCAACAGCCGATGCAACAACCTATGCCAATGCAGATGCAGATGCAGATGCAGGAGCCTCAGCTGATGTCAGCCTTGCCACCAAAGTACGACCAAGCTGTGGCAGCAAACTAAGTAATCTTTGAGATTATCTAAGGAGTGGCAAATATTTTGTACAATTTATAGAAACCCAAATAAAAACTCTCTTGGAAGAACATTGCAAAATCTATGAAAATCTTTGTGAGAATATGAATTAAAATATATTTTTAAATTAGGTTAACATAAATGAGACGTATTTGTTTTTAAAAATATATAAGTACAGTGGTTTTTTCCTAAATTTTTTTATTAAATTTCATAGCTTTGCTGATAATACAAGTTATAACAAAAAACCTAAGACATAGCTTAAATAATAAACTCTACAAGTCTTACAATATTAAAAGCAATCAAGATAAGGAAATGTTTTAATACAGTTAAAGATACTTTAAGTTAGTTATGGACACTTGGTAAAAAGTGTCATGAACAAAGGGCAAGTTTGCAACTTTTGCAGTTATTTTTAGTTAAAAATTATTTAAATATTAAAATTTAAGAATAGTTTCTACAAGAAATGCTTAAGTCATCTCTTCATTATATTTTCTGAAACTAAGAAACTAATACAAATCGTTTACGGAAGAGACCCGACCAAACGGAAGGTTTGTCGTCGGCCCAAAATCCCAACTGAGATCCAGTTAGATGAGAATTAATTGGCCCCGATGCAGCGTTGCCAACTACTTTGTGCAATTAAAACAAATTGTATCTAACAGATACACGGAGCAGGTTAAGACCTAACTAAGTTGTACGCTGTGGGTATCCCAATATCCTTAAATATGGTATATCCGTCGTGGGGAAACAATAGGAATTTAACAAATTTAATAAGACATTTTAATTATTTGTATATATATTTAATATTACATTATACTATTAAGATTTAAAACTAAACTTAGTATATACATTAACTTATAAAAGTATAATAACTTTTAAGGACAAATTTATATATATTTTGGGACAGAAATTCTTCACAAATGAATATATATTTAATACCAAGAAAATTAAGATTAAATACAATATAAATATTGCTTATTTTAAATGAGAAATTTACCTATTTTCCTGATAATTTTATTATAAAATTAAGGAAAGAGTATTCAAAACAAAGACTTTAAAATGCATAACCCGCTGTGTTCCTTGTTTCCACCTTAACAAAGGTCTCTAACCAGGTTTAGCAGCATCATAAAACTTTTCTGCACCTAATAATTCATATTAAACTTGCCCCAGCTACTCTCTGTCTTTTCTATTTTCCATTTTCCCCGCTTGGGTCACTCATTCATTCATTCATTCAGTTTTAAAACAAAAGACTGCTGCAACGGAAAGAGATGCCTTTAAGTTGGCTTTTTGTTTCGGTCTAACGAGGGTTGAATAATTTCTATTAAATTTTAAATAGATGTAAATAATAATTATTTAACAATATTAAGGGAAATATATTAAAAATATTTTAATAATAAATACAAAGAGAGCCTAAGTTAGCAAGAAATAATAAATAGATTTAAGAAGTTTTTTCCCATTGCATGATTGCTTTTTAAATGTTAACTATAAATATTTTCGCATATAAAAACTACTTAAATAATATGTGTTCATTTAATTTAAATATTTCTACAATGGAATTAAGTATTTTTAAGGCTTTTGTTAATGTTCTTGTCTTTTAATATTCAAAAACTTAACCCAAAATTGTTTTAAAGATCTTGATTTCTCTATTCAAAGAACACAAATAAAACTCTCTCCTAACTCAAGCCGACCCAACTATTAACCCACTCTCCGTCACCTTAACACCTTTATGCCCCCAAGAACTTAATGTTTTCCTTTAAACATTAGCTTCATCAGAGACGCCGGCGACCTGTTTTCGCTGTTGTTTTATAAACAATGAACATATTATGTGCTGGGGGGAGCAAAACAACAATAGCCGTGGGTGGAAAAGTGTTTGGTGAAAATGTGTAGGAAAATGGCAAGGAGGGGGGGTAATATGGCAGTCAAAAACAAGGTGTTTCCGACAATTTTTGCCTGCCGTAGGCCAACGTCAACGTCATTGTCGACCGTTTAGCGTCTTGGAAAATTCCAAAACGATTAAGGGGGGCGTTGGGTGTTAAGTAGCCGGGAGTCGGGAGTCCTTAACCCATTGCCGTTCTTTTGGGTTCGCCCACATTTTGCCTGTGATGATGATTGAGGAACCTGCAGTTAGCCTTAAATGATTTTCCTCCCCAAGCCAACAGCCTTAACCCATTATTTCGAGACCTTCCCCCTTAACCCCATGTCCTGGCCCCATTTTGATTTTGCCTTTTGTTTTGCTTAGCTTTTGTCTGTTCGAAAGTAAGAGAGAGTGAGTTATTTTTTGCCAGGAACATTTTTAATTGTGTTTCCGGTAATTTACACTCTATTAAAAAATTTACTCCTCCATTAAAGGAGCTTCTCGGTTTCTATCCTTAACTAGAAAGGGCTGCCATCTTTTCATCATACGAACGGACATCATCAACAATATCGTTATTATCATCATCATCATCATCAAGTCCCCAAGCCTCGTTGGCTTTTGTCTGCTTCTCCTTTTGGCCAAATCAAATTACATTAATAACCAGTCTTTGGGCTCAAATCAAGCTCACATAAAGGGGAGTGATTCCATAAGAGATCCCCTCCTTTCTTTTGCCTCTCAACTCAACTCTCATCGAATCTGTTGGCCAAAAATTGTTGGCAAATTTTAAACAAAAACCAAAAGTCCCCCAAAAAACAGCAGGTGGAGAAAAGAAATCCGTAGAGAAAGCCGCAAATTTTTGGAAACACTTTACCGGCCACACCCACCAGTTGACGCCCCCTTTACCACACACAAAACACACACACGCCCCCTTTTTTGTTGTGATTGTTCATTGAGGCATTGGAGGAATCTGAAGAGGAAAAGCTGCCATGAGCTATGAGCACTAAAAGAAAAATAATATAGAAACATGGAGATTCAATTTATAAATAATAAATAATAAATTTTTATTTTAATAAGATAAAATATTGTATATACTGAAATATAATAATATTTTGATGAGTTTTTGTTATGTTAGGAAAGGTAAAAGATAAGACATAAAGCAATACCTTAGTATAACTCCTTTTTCCCTTATATTAATTGTCTTTCTTGTCGTCAAAAGTTAATAAAAGCAAATAATCCTTTATAATTCTAATAAATATACATATTTATAACTAAATTATAGGAAAATAAGACTTAACATAAAGATAATTTATTTAAAGTTTTAAAAAATCACTTATTAAGAGCTTCTTAAACATAATCTTATTTTCCTTTATACTAATAGTCTTTCTTATCGTCAAAACTTAATAAAATCAATTAATCCTTTAAATTTCTAATAAAATATATATATTTGTAACTAAATTATAGGAAAATAAGACATAACATTAAGATATGTTCTTTAAAGGTTTAAAAAATCAGCTTCTTAAACATAAAACACGTTTAACAGTGCTGCTTAATAATCCTCGTAAACATTTCCTTTCAAGATAAACCTTTTCGAGCTTACTAAACATTTTTTAATCAACATTTTCTATAATGTTTCCCATAATAATTTTTCACCT